ATCCAGGTACTAGTTTTGCTGCTCCACAGTAGTGGTGGGGTGTGCCTAAGATTGATTGGGATGTTTTCGCTATTTGATACTCATGAAGGGGACCAGAAGCTGAGGAATCATATGTCGCGGGAATGGAACCAATACTTGAAAGCAAACCGTTTGGCACAACCTCACGATCTCGCGACTCCGTGGCTTCGGCCATCGGTTTCTTTTTCTCCTCGTCCGAACCGTGGCGGAACCCGGTCGGAGGTCGCCCGTCCGTAGGCGCACCGCCCGTCCGGCTCAGGTGCTTTGGGATCGACGCGGCCTTTCAGTCTTGGAGGACCGGTCCACCGGGCGCCCGGTCCACCGCGGGGGCGGTCAGGGCGGTCGATCGTCGAAGAGAGATGGCGGACGATGGCGAGAACCAGACGACAGAGGATGAAAAGACATGCGACATGCTGACTTGTGTGTCTTTTCTCTTCTGTGACCCACACATACATTCAACGTTGACATACCATTGGTGCCACATCCTTCCTTTCAAATTCTCACCGCCAAACCCCATGTGTTTTCTTTCACTGCACCGCCAAACCGTGTCAGTCACCACTGTGAAACACAGCGGGGTCTATCTGGCTGTTTCACGAAAAGCGCCGCTTTGACGGGCACTCTTCGTGGCAAATCCTGCTCAGTGTTGGGCCCGTCGAACGAACAAACTGCTCAACAGCATGCAGTTCTGCTAACATCAGCTCCTGGCCAACAGCCCCTGCCTGCCCATTTTTTTCCTTTTGTTGGGTGCTTTTTTGTCCACAAAATGGCACGAAGCAGTTGTTTAAGAAGAAGGGCACTTGCTTGCACTCAACTCCTCCAGCCCCTTTTTCCCAGTTCCTCGTTGGTTGATCTGAAGCCCCTGCCTGCACAACAACCGGTCACGAGGCTGGCATCTTCTTGAAGAGAAATTCTGCTGGTATGTTGTTGTGTGTGAGTGTGGACTGTTCAAGATGTTCAAAAGTTCCCGGGGTCCATTTTTTTAGGAGATTTATATATAGGCCAGCTTGTTTCCCTCTGTGCGGCTGTTCCATATGGAAATTCTGGAACATAGGGATTTCTGGAAGCCAACTTTTGTCGACAAGCAGGCGGTGCCATCCATTTCCATGTTGATGACTCGGAGACTATACCGTAGTTACGCAATCTTAGAAGAACAAACCTGGAGAGTTAAACGCCATTTCCTCGTAACAATTCCTTCTGATCATCAGGACCTTGTGGTGCTGATTCCTCTGCGCTCAAGCCGGCGCCGGCTCTGATACCTTCTCTAGACGAGGCGCCGAAGTGCCTGAGGTTGTGAGAGTCGTGGTGGCGAGAGTTGTGGTTGGGGTGCCAGAATCCATGAGCTTATGTCTCTGAATCACATCAGTGTCCCAAAGACATCCTCATCCCAACATACCTGCAAACTTTTGCAAGCCCTTTCCAGATCTTTCTTGAACTCAGGCACAGCTCCTGAAAATTGAGGCATGCTGGTGCAGTATTGCAACCATCCTTACAACTGAAAAAGTTTTGTTCTTTTTCCACAGCGGTATGCAAACTGGACCAACTGGCAGTGGTATTAAAACCATGGCCTTCAGAGATTCGGAAGGCATTCTTGTAAAAATCCCTGTCCACACCACGCCTCCAAACCCTCACCGCCCCCCCAAAGCCCATAAAGCACCCGAGCCTCCTGCGCCACCGGTGCAGCGCCACCGGTACCGGGTCTCGCGACGCCAGGAGATGCGGCGCTTCGAGCCGCCGCCTCCGCCGCGGAGTGCGCCGTCCTTGCAGCCTGGGGCCCCGGGCGAAGGGCCGTTCGGGCGAACGGTGAAGACTGAGGACATTTGATGGGTTTGGTTCGGCTCGGGGTGGAACACCAAGCAGTGCGACGGTCTTACCTTCAGTCTGGAGGTCTCCGCCATGTTAGCACCCACTTGTCGGTCTGCTGAGGTTCTCAGAAGAGCCCCTGCGAGAGCTTTTGCGGGAGCCTCCGCGAGAGATTCTTCGGGAACCACCTCGGCGTCACCCCGAGTGGGAAGAGCTACGACCAGGTGGGCCCCCCACGTCGCGTGTGTCTATCGCGTGTGGCCATCGCGTGGGGCCTGCAGTGATGAGTTGGCAGCTACAGCTGTGACACCTGGGGTGTGGGGATCCGAACCGTCGACTGGGACGAAAGCAACTAGCCCATTTTCAGTTTGGTCTTCACATGGTTTTGACGTCCACAGCTTTTGGGGTGGGTTCTTTGAGTTCCCGAACTTGACGTCCAGAACTCTCAGGTTTCGGCGTCACCCAGAACATGGGCACACTTCCTCGCGAACTCTCCGGCTTGAAGCCTCAAGGCGATTTGGGCGGTGAAGCGATAGAGAAAGCGAGAGTTTTAGCAGTACCATCACATACCACCGCGGTGGGTTTCATCCAATTTTACCCTTCTGACAAGGCACGTTTGGGATTTTGCTAGTTCCTCTATGTTCCTCTCATAGCAACCTTCTGCAAAAGTCAGCTTCGAAATCTCGAAACACTTCTGCAGATCTCTGCACGATCTGGTTCAAGAGGTGGATCAAGCAAGAAGATACGTGGTACCTACGTCCGTGATACGAGCTCTGGGCCGATCGGTGCTCTGGCTCCTGTTCTTCGGCCTGTCTTGAGGTTTGAGATGTGAGCTCAAGGTCCGCACGTCGGAGAGCCATTGGGAGAGCCTACGCTTTTCTGCAGGAGCGACAGCGGACGGCACGACCGGCACGTCGGACGAAACGACGGCTGTTCTAAAAAAGTCGGGGATTGAGTGGTTCTTGAGTCGTTCTTGGGATAGGCTGGGGGATTCTGAGGAAGAAGCAAAGGCTGTTCAGAGATGTTCTTTTCCTGGCTCTGCCCTGCTGGTATGTCTGTCAGGTGACGACCTGGATTGGAAGGCGCAGGAGTTTGTCCAACGCTTCTTGGTGACATCAAATGCCTTCTGTGGGGTTTTGTACAGCAAAAATGGAATCTCCATGAATACGAGCAACTGAATCTCCCGCTTTTGGTTTGGCGCCCCCATGATTCCGTACAGACTGGATTCAGTAGTCGTGATGGCCGTGTGTCCCGCTGACATGTCTGCCCCGGCTAGCCGGCTTTCACAGACTGTGGCCGTGAGTCATAGCAGCTCCTCCACCATGGTAGGTTCACATCATCTATAGCAGAAGTGATTTCATCACCCAGCTGGAGTACCCATCATCATCCCGGATGAGAATTCATCAGGACCGGATTATGAACATCTAGTGATGAATCAAAGCCTTGACAGATGAACCCTGCAGTCTCGATATGACTCCGTAGGATCCTCAAAGGAGGGGGCACATATATATATATATATATACACACACACACACACCCCTAGAACGTGATTGACCCCTGTTTAAGGAGCCCAAAACATGGTCTTTTCCTATCAAAAACAGAGGTCAAGTCTGGCTTCTAAGTATATATATATATCTATCTCTCCCTTCATCGCACCACCGAGTCCGGCCGTGTGAGTCGAACTGACCCCGTGGTCAGGTTGCGGCCTGAAGCATGCCTTTTTGCCGGGTGTGGTGGCCAGACTCAAGCAGATGGTCTCCATCCAGCAGGAATATGTGGCTTGGTGTCCGACGGACGGCGCACCGGTCTGGTCTTGCCCCACGGGCGATGACGCTGGAACGGCCGAGCCGCCCTTCCAAGGCCTGCGTCGACATTGTGGACCTGATCTAACGGGGCAAGTCCATTTGGGCGGCCGATTGGTGAGTGAATTCTCAAGGGAATTCTCAAGCGAGAGTGTGTGGGTCCGGAGCCAGAGCTAGGTGGGTCCGGAGCCAGAGCTAGGCGGGTCTGGCCCGGAAAGGCACCTCGAATGCCAAGCTGAAATGTGTTCAATTCGTCAATTAAGTTAGCTTGCAACCTTCATCCCTGGCGGCCAAGTGCAACAATCTTCCTGCTGATATTTACTTAACTCTTACTGGCGTCGTCATCAGGGGTGAGAAGGACCATGCGATTTTTGGCCCAATAAGAGCCTTCGTTTTCGCCTTCAAAGCGAGGCAACATAAACGGAGCGAGCAGGGAATCGCAAAACGAAGCACGCTCGCGTGGGCAATCTCCAGTGATATACATCGGCGCAACCAGGTACGCAAGACCGCTGATGGAGAAGCTCGCCGAAGCCACAGCAATATGTCATGTCTGGACATAGACATGAACAGCGGATGTCCGCGACAAGCCCCAGTTTCCCGCGCTGAATTGAAACCATCAGTCCTAGGGTTGTGCCCGGCCCGGTGGAATCTGCCACACGTTACAAGTCTGGGAGGTTTCCCTTGGCTTTTGGGCTGGTTTTCTTCTAAAACCTCCCGGACCAACCGCGCCATGCGCTCCACGACGTCGCATGGGTGGATCCAACCGCGCCGGACGAACGAGGTCATGAAGCTGAACAGCTCCCAGCACCGGGGCGTCGGTCGCTCAGCACTCCGGTCCGGACGGAGAATGGGGTGTGCCGGGGTCTCCCCAATGGGTGACCTTCCTACCCAGGAAACGTGGATATAACCTTTGACCTTTCTTGGGGATTGGTTTCCCCACCAAGTATGAACAGAATTGAACAGATGGATCTTAAGGATGGAAGGAGGATGGAAGAAGGTGAACCTTTAGTTTTCTTAGGGACACGGCTCTGGAGTCAGTATTAGATTCATTCGATAGCTGAAACAATCAGATCTTCCTGGCGATCTTCCTTGTGCGTCCTTGCCGTTTCACACGCAGTTCTTCACGTGGTTCACGTCCGCTCGTCGATCTTCTCCGTCGATCGCTCCGAGGTGAGGGAGGAGGCGATCACCTCCATCGCGGTCATCGCAGGTGTCATGGAAAAGGACGTCGCGCGTCGCACCGCGCCGAAACCAAAAAGCCCCGTCTCACCGGACTGGTCGGCGACGGAGCGAGCGACGGAGCGACTGTTCTGCAGGAACAGAGGGGTGAGAGACGCTGACCTGCCTTTCCAGGATTTTGTGCAGTACTATGACAGCATCATGCCAATGTTGAAGCAGTTTGTGATGACTGCCACAAGCAAGAAGGAGCAGATTCTGACATGCAAAGCATCTTCTCGCGCAAAGAAGCATCAACAAAAGGAAATTCCTTGGGCGAAGCGAACATGAGCCGTCATGAGCCACCATGAGCCTTTGTTGTTGGGTAAACCACGGAGTACACAAAAGATGGACGTAGACTCGTTTCAGCAACGACACGCATGTGTTCCACCTGAGGAGAACCGCTTGCGTGGCAAGTCCTTCGAATGCATGTCCCTGTGAGGGGCCAAGACTGGGAGAAAGGGGCCAAGACTCTTGCACCAAAGAGGCTGATGTGGCTTCAGTGTAAGAAGCCACTCAATTGCAAGCTCAAACTAGCTTCAGGTTGGGCATTGCTGTTGGCAAGGCCTCTTTGGTCGTGTTTTTTTTGCCTGACCTCAACCCGCTGCAGACCTCAACCAGGGTCTCCAACCTCCACAGGAGAAGTTCTTGAACGATGCCAAGGAAGCCATTAATGCCATGATGAACACACAGGTGGAGGCCAGGATGGCTAGGATGTTGGAGTTTTTCATGATTTCTTCTTGTGCATTTCAAGTGCCAAGCACTAGCGAGAACATCACAATGCAGCGAACACCGGAGAAAAACAAGATGGAACCCACGAACCCGAATGGAAACACGTTCGAAAAACTACATATGTCCAAATGACACTCTTGTAGGACACTCTTGTGGGACACTCTTCTGGGACACTCTTGTAGGACACTCTTCTGGGACACTCTTGTAGGACACTCTTGTAGGACACTCTTGTGGGTCACTCTTGTAGGAAACTCTTGTGGGACACTCTTGTAGGACACTCTTGTGGGTCACTTGCAGGACACTCTTGTGGGACACTCTTACACGACACTCTTGTAGGAAACTCTTGTGGGACACTCTTGTGGGACACTCTTGTGGGACACTCTTGTGGGACACTCTTGTGGGACACTCTTATGGGACACTCTTGTAGGACACTCTTGTGGGACACTCTTGCAGGACACTCTTGTGGGACACTCTGTGGGACACTCTTGTGGGACACTCTTGTAGGACACTCTTGCGGGACTTGTGGGACAGTCTTGTAGGACACTCTTGTGGGACACTCTTGTGGGACACTCTTGTAGGACACTCTTGTGGGATACTCTTGTAGGACGCTCTTAAGGGACACTCTTGTGAGACACTCTAGTGGACACTGTTGTGGGACACTCTTGTGGGACACTCTTCCAGCTCCCCAGAAACTCCGCGTACTAAAGTTGTACCAGTTCTCAGCTTCCAGCTCGCCAGATACTCCGCGGACTAAAGTTGTACTACAAAGTCGCCAGTGCTCGCCTGCATTTCGCGCGCTCGACGCGCACGATCTCCGCAGAGGGTTGCGCGGGCGCCAGACAAATCGCAGACTCGCCTGCATTTCGCGCGCTCGACGCGCGCGATCTCCGCAGAGGGTCGGCGGGCACCGGACAAATCGCACTCTCGCCTGCATTTCGCGCGCTCGACACGCGCGATCTCCGCAGAGGGTTGCGCGGGCGCCGGACAAATCGCACTCTCGCCTGCATTTTGTTCACTCGACACGCGCGATCTCCGCAGAGGGTTGCGCGGGCGCCGGACAAATCGCACTCTCGCCTGCATTTCGCGCGCTCGACACGCGCGATCTCCGCAGAGGGTTGCGCGGGCACTGGACAAATCGCACTCTCCCCTGCATTTCGTTCGCTCGACACGCACGATCTCCGCAGAGGGTTGCGCGCGCATGGAACAAATCGCACTCTGGCCTGCCTTTCGCACACTCGACGAGCGCGATCTCCGCAGAGGGTTGCGCGTCAAGTCTCCAAAACGAGCGTTTCGTACGAGACGTCCTCAAAAACTCACACGTCAAAGTCTGCAAAGCGAGCGTTTCGTACGAGACTTCCTCCAAAAGTCAAGCGGAAACGCACGCCAATCCCAATGTGACAGCGACATTCGCCTCTACCACAACTCACAACCTCACGATTCCCTGCACCTGCCACGAATCTTTCCGCGTCCACACGTCTAACGCGCGCAAAGTACTGCGCCTGCCACGAAATGTCACCTCCGTCACACCTCGCAACCTCACGATTCCCTGCGCTTGCCACGAGAATCGCACTTCCACGCCTCAAAGCCCGCACAAAGTCCTGCGCCTGCCACGAAAAGTGACAATATCATCTCATGTGAGCTTCAACAAAATTTGCACCACACCACATGTTTGGAATGATTTCGACCCCTTCTGAGCACACTCCCATCCACCAAAATCGCCATTTCAGCTGAGACTTGTCACGAAAACCGAGCTTCGATGCCCAACCCTGAAACGCAAATCCCAATGGCACGGTCACATCCAACACCCCAAAAACACGACTCTCCAAACGCTAATCCCAATGGAACTGCGCAGCAATCTGCGGATCTCACAAAACGCTGCGCCTGTCCAGCGAAATGCATCACGTTTCTTGCGCGACATGTCATTGTCATGCAAATCACAATGGAATAGCGGCGCAAACTGACACGTGACACGTCCATGAAAAGTCACTTGCAAAAGCTTCCCCCAGTGGCAGTAAATTTGAGACGCGACGACGACGACAAACGACGAGAGACGACGACAAACGTTGACAAACGACGACACGACGCAAGCCATGCAAACACAGCTCCAACCCCCAGACCCCCAACTATAAACGGGAACCCTTCGCTACGCATTCGGGAAAGGATTATTTGTTCTTGTCTTGCATTTTCTGAAAGCAATTGGACTTCTGTCCGTTTCGGGAGGCTGATGATGTCCAGCGGGAGTGCGACCGCTGGTGGGCTGGTGGGTCTTTCGACGGCCTCTGCGGGCTCACATCCCATCAGCAGATGGGCCTGGGAGGGATGGTGAGGGTGAATGACCTCTAACCGCCCTGACAGTCAAACCATGGCGAGCGCCTTGAAAGCAGGTACATCAAGGAAGCCTCCGAACGTATCTGTACCTGTCTCAAAAAGGACAGAATCCATGTTTTTCACCTGTAGAACTTGCTTATGATGGAAGGAGGTGGACAGTTTGTCCGTCAACTGATGACTGACCTGTAGGACTTTGCTCAATTCCTCCCACCGCTGCTGCCGGGGATTTTCAGGCGGAATGGGATGAATCTGTGCACTCGATGGATGTCCAATCTGATTGCCACCCAGGAATTTGCGCATTGACGAGATGCATGTCTCGGCCCTAATTTTATTGGATTTGATCAAAGCCTGACGCTCTTGACTCTTTTTTCAGCGGCTTTCCAGTTCTCACTCGGAGATTTTGATTGTCTACCCAGTCTTCCTGACATGCCCGGCAGCTGTTTGACGACCCATTTTGACGACCCATGAATGACATCAATTGACCTTTGAGGCACCTGCAGCCAGTGGGCTCGATGATGACGATGATTCCTACGTGAAGGCCCGAACCATGCGGCCGACCCATGCGTCTTCTGCCGGACATCCGGTGAGTCTGGAACTGATGGGGCCGTTTCAACGGGAGGTCCTGACTGGTGATGGCAAAACCGTGCGAGTACACACCGAGAAGTTCCAAGACATGATGCAATCAGTGCTTGGCTGAGCCCAAAGGCCAAGAGTGCTAAGGCAAAGTGGTCCAACGGGCCCTAGGGGTCAGACTTTTCATATGCTTTCTGAGGTTCAGCTGCTCCACACCTTTGTTACAGAGATGGAAGGAGGCTACTTCGAAGCTATCACTGAGACAGCCAAGGTCGGGGCAGATTGTTTTACTCTGAGAGTGACCCGTGTTGCAGTCAAAGAACATGATATCAAGTGCCAAGTCAGGTGTTGAAGATATAGATATGTACCCCGGTCCAAGTCGATTTGGCATCTTTCTTGCAGCAACGCAGGTTCTGCTGCCGCTGCTGACTGCCACAGACGAGATGTCAATGCTCTGTGATGAGGCAGGGATCAACAAAGCTTTGCCAAAGATAAAACCCTTTTTCACAAGAATAGATGCTGGCCAAAGAGATTGAGTTGCAGTTTCTGCCCATGCCCAGACCGGCTGGGTGCCCCACCTCACCAACCCCACCAACCTGCCCGGCAACGCAGGTTCGTGGCACAGCCTTGCAGGTTTGGAGTTTGCTCATCAAATCGGCGCGGCTGGGTGCACAGGCGAGGACCACGACGCACCGGACGGACCGCGCGGTGGCACCGTGGACCCCGTGAGATGTGGCACGGGTGCACGGGTTGACGTGAACGGCCAGGAACGGGGCCAGCCAAATGCCGCTCGGCTTGTGATGTGCCAGAAAGAAGCACCACCACCCGGGGGAGAATGGGAGAATCCCGAGGTTTTGGAATGACACTTTGATGGAAATGGACCACTTAGTTGTCTTTGTAGAGGAACTTCCTCATTCCAGCCATGCTCAGCCAGTCAACCCGTCCGTGCTCTGCGGTTTGTCGAGCCGTGTCCCGTTTTGGAAGTTCTCGTTGGGGCGCGCGGTCGTACGCGGGGCGCCGATGAATGGAACGACGGCGCCAAGGACATGGCGAAGCAACTCCTGGGAACGGGTTTGCAGGTGCGGAACATCTCTCCAGTGTTTGGCGAGAAGGAAGAAGGAAAGTTTTCGCTCGCGGGTTTTGGCGCGGTTTTGCCGTGTTGGATTGACACCCAAACGAAGACGTGAAATTACGCCGCTTGCAGGCCGTGTTTGTGCAGCTGGAACAGAACCAGGAGACTGAGGTTGTTCTGTGAGACATGTCTTCAGATGTCTTCAGGATGTCTTTCGTCACTCAAGTCACAAGTAATGTCAAGGCTCTTGATCAGTAAAACCCCTATGGCAAAGTTTTACAATCCACATGGCAGGTTTTCTGAATCAAGAGTCTACATGTGAACTTTACATGACTTGAGTGATCATTTTTTGCACTTGCTACATTCCGGGCAGGAGACGGATTTCCTGCATGAAATCTCCTCGGGTGTTGCGGAGTGCATCAAGAACGTGTGTTGCTAAGAGTGCACATGGCAGGTGTGCTTTGCCGAGCGAATGTTGGCAATCCGATGGCAGGTGTGCTGGCTGTGCTTTCCGATCGAACTCTAAGGTTGGACCTGGTGTGCTGGGTAGCGACGAGGTGAGAACGCTCGCTCAGAGGCGCGCGCCAGACAGCAATTTGCCTTTCACATGATCTAAAGCATCACTGACTTTGTGTACTATCCGCGCTCGATGTATTTGGAACAAGGATCACATAGGATCACCCATCTCAGCCCTCTTTTCTGATCGTATGATGTTAGCCACTTCCACAGACAGCACTTGTATCGACTCCCACACGAATGAAGCCCACACCCAGGGTCTTCGCGCTCATGGACCAGTCGCTGCAAAGAAGTTGGGCACTGAGAGAACGCCCCGGTCGACGGGAGGATGTCCAACACAGGTCGTTCTTTTTGTTGCAGTTTTTAACACATGGTCCAACACCTGTTGCATGGAAGCATTTGAGAGTCTTCTATCTTTTTTTTCCAGGTGAGTCTGTTGAACCCCCAATTGAAGCTATCAGAAGCCACTTGTTCGATGGGTCTTGGCTTCTGTGCTGACCTGGCAAGTCTCGACAGGTGCAAAGCATGCTTCTGAAGAGCTAAAGAACAAGCAAGAGGCCATGTGGTCAACTCGTCAGGTCATCAACTCTGAGCTTCATGAGCAGAATCACAACCTCTGTAGCACAGAAGTCACTCCACACAGCTGAATGACAACTGCTGACCGCTGGTTTCTTTGAACTCGGTTTGAGCGAAAAACGTGCTCTCTGCGCAGCCAGGCGAGCCATCTTCCCCAGGACCAAACGGGTGAGTCACTGAGTCCACACCGAAGACATTTCGGAGGAAACCGAAGCTTCACGCGCGTCTCAGACTGAAGCTGGGGGCGGCGGTGAGGAGCTTCACGGTGGGGATGAAGATGATGATGAGCAGGGCCCGGCGGCAGATGAGGCGATACACAGAGCAGATGCATGGGGGTCCAATGCCTTCACTTGTGATGGGGCAAGATCTGCTTTATACAGAAAGACATTCTTTCTTTTAATAGTCGGGTGGGTGTGGATTCGGTTCGAGTGGCCATCACAGGACCAGCTGCGAAGGAACTACGAAGAGATCTTGGGAGCAATGATGAAGGCCCCATTGGTGAGACATCTCGTGGGCTTCGACCAGGGTGTGGGGAAGCTGCGACTGTTTTTGAGGTGGTCTCATATTTCTGAAACTGAGTATGACCTTCATGACATAGGTCGCTCAACTTGAAAACTCCAAGAGTATCATGTCATTTTTTTTGCCAGCCGACCAAGTGGGAGAGAGAAGGTTTTGATGGGTGGTGGGCGAACCAGACCCAGAACCAGGTCCATTGAAACGAAGCATCTCGGATGGCCGTGATGGCACCGAACCCCTCGTGCGCCTGCAGAAGCTCAGAAGGTGCAGAAGGTGCAGATACACGCCACATGAAGAGTTTGATACACAGTGCTTGTGGATGATTTGCTCATCTCCGGAAATAAGGCGGTCCATCGGGACACGCAGAATACAGCATTTCAGATCCAACAGGTGAGGTGAATCATTCGACTGGTGCGTGCTTTGATTCTTCAGCCAACCCCCAGGACTGCAAGAACAAGCAGCCCAGTTCTTCTTTTTGGGGGGTTCATTTGGTCATATGTCCAGACCAAAGCAAGCTTTCCGTGGGTGGACCTCCGTCCAGTTTCGCTCCGTTTTGCTTTGATCCCCGGGATCCCCTCGGCACGGAGATCCACAGATCATGGCAGTCCGTTGTTGGCAACGCGTTGCCGCAAACCTTCAGGTTTCCCCAGCGGAGTTCCTGCCATGTTTGCCACAATGTGCTGAGCGCATTCAGCAATGGGCTTGGGAACCCAAGACCGGAGTCCGACCGACGGCGATGGAGTCGCGACTGGAGAATTTCTTCTTTCTTTTCTTTCTCTTAAGTTCTCTCCGTCTCTCTCAGAAGCATCAACCTCAGCCATTTTGGGAACCACTGTTGCGGTCCTCAGCCACTTTAAGACGAGGTGGCGACCAAGGAGAACAAGGCTTCCCAATCGGGGCTTGGAGGAACTTTATTTTGAGCTCATTTCATCTCAGTTCTGACTCTTGTTGTTGACTAAAGTTGAAGGGAAGAACGACATGGGAAGGCTGCAGTCGCATGTCATCACGCAGCCTTTGTCGTTCGTAGGTCCTTGGCCTGTACTTGGTGTGCGATCTCCTGGATAATTTGCTCGCACCTCAAACGTTTCAACGGCTTCCATATGTTGATTGCTTGAAGAAACTCGCAAGGAGCTTGTTGAGCCGTTGAACCGAGGAAGGAACATTCTGAGAGCGCATGGCCAATCTTCATGCCCAAGATTTTTGAGTCGATCTTCGACGTTGATGCAGATGCAAGGAGATGGGTTATGATGGGGGAGCAGAACTCACCGCGCAGGTACTTCACATTCGCTGAAGCAATTGCCCAGAAACGTCCACATGTCACTGCCGCGCTTGAGACTCCACACGCAACGAGCAGATCTGAGGAGACCAGAGACGAAACGGGAAACGGACAGTTCTCAGCACTTTCGGCTCCAGGCGAGCCGAACCCAAGGCTTTGCTCCATTTCAGATACGACCGTCCCATTTTTGGTTTGTAAAAAACCACCAGAAAAGAGAGGATACTGTGGGTGAATGTCTTGAAGATTGGCAATACCCCGTAGCCTCGCCCGCTGCTTTCCCAAAGCTACAGCACATTTTGTGGCTCGTGTACCTAGACAAGACGTCAACTGCATCAACCATCCGAATGAAGACGAGCGATGGGCCCCTGTCGCGTTCGCCTTCCTTGCTCCAATTGCAGCTGGACTTGCTTGGTCGCTGAAGCGTCCCAGACAGTCGCGTAAAGAAGAAACGTCCTCATGGTCCAAGTCGCAACGTCGCTTACGAGGCCATGTCTGTCGAACTGGACCATCACTTCACGATGCTAGTGGATCATTTCAGACAGGTTCAAAACAAGTTTCTTTGTAGCCTGCGCTTGAGACTCAACAAGGTAGAATTCGAGGTCTTCTTTCATATCAGCTTTCTGTGCATGACACGCGGGCTGAGGACGCACATCCCATGGCGTTTGGCAGAGGACATCTCACAATGCCCCAACATGTAGGTGATGACTTGCTATGTTTGTTTCAGGCGGTTGTTGAATGAAGCCAAGTACTGTACTCGAAGCTATTCCCATATATACTGTATATATATTATATATACAGTATATAGCTTGGTTAACACTTTTGGAGTTCCGTGACGGTGGTGGGTGGTTGGCTTTGGACCGAAAATAAGTTCCTTCTCAAAGACCCTCACGAATCACCAGAGCCGCTGTTGCATGATTCGTTTCAGCTCATACAACATGAAAGCAAATTATGAACACCAGTGACCAGCATGGACAGCAACAGTGTGGAGGAGGAGGAGGAGGAGGGGAGGGAAAGGAGGAGGTGGGGATGGGTGCAGAAAGAGGTTGGGACATCTGCAATAAGCCACTCGCCCTAGTCGGAGGACGAAGTACTCGCCATACCAGTTATTCTCATCCCTTTTCGCCTTCACGGTTTTTTGTTTGAATTCATTTTTCGTGGGACAGGACTCGCAGCTGTGGAATGTGGGTCTAGTGAAGGAATTGCAAGAGGCCAGTGCGACAAGAGTTTGACTTTTTGTGGAGCTACTAGTATCTCCTGGCCATACTACTAGTAACAAGAAGCTACTAGTAACAAAGGGCATCGCTGCTAGGAGCAAGAAGCTACTAGTAGCTCCTGGCATTACTACTAGTAACAAGAAGCGGATGATTTCTTTTTGTTGCTTGACTCGCAGGCGCCATCCATGCGGCTACTTTTGCTGAGTCCTGTAGGAGGCGTTCGTGCCAATCCTTTGGTGGATGAAATTTCGTGGCCCAACGAAGGTTCTTTGTAAACGTTGGCTACCCTTCTGTCACTATTGGTCTTGGACCGCCCCTTTTCCTCAGGCCTGAGCGGTGAGGGATGGACGCTTCTGCTTTGCACTTGCTTGGTCCTGGCTGGAGGGATGTTGCACGGTGTGGCCATGGCAGCTTGTCTTTGCGCTTTAACACTGCACCAGTGCTTCCCCTGAAGTGTTGGTGTTTTTTACTTTTTTGAGACCCCTTCTTGGCTTGCCTTCTGTGGTCAAGGCCATGCGGAAATTCTTTGGTCAAGGAGCGGGATGGGGTGGGACGTGGTTCCTTCGTCTCGACGACGACTCCACCCGACCCCACGGACGAGGAAGCCCCAGGTGTCGTGAGCTGCAGGCGTTCCATGAGCTGCAGGACACATCGAGTATTGGAAGCAGCCCCGGTGGTGGCTGGGAGTGCTTTGTGATGGAACAGCTGGACTCATGATTTGGCCAGCGATGCCCATCCTGGCGGCGCAGGTGGGGGTCATTGGGTAACGGTGTGGTTTGGGGTTCACGGCGACCAACCGCCGTTTCGTTCGGCCCAGAGAGGGCGATGTGCTTAGACGAACCTGGTGGGGTGTCGACTGGGTTTGGATCAGGTGGTGCGACATGATGTGGTTCCAATAAGCTTTCCGAGTCTTCGACCCCCGTTTCAAGTCTTTGAACCCCCCGGTTCTGCGCAGGGAACGCCGCGTTCCGCAGGTTCTGATGCCCTTGGCCACGGTCGCGCAGCTGCTGGTGGCCTATTCCTTGGGCCTTTTCTTCTTCCGGGAGCAGGCAGAGAGTGACCTTAGATACTCATGCCCACTCAGGGGGCAACGGTATTAAACCTTAAGTTTGCAAAGGAAACTGGTCAATCACACCATGTATCGTTGAGGTGTCCATCTTCAACCACTTTGGCGTGGTCTTGGCGACAGTCGGTGTCGTCGGCATTTCTGTGTGAAACTGAGAGAAGAATAGTCGCTCTTAGTTAAAACCATTTTCTTCTTGGATCGGTTTCTTCTTGGATCAGTCGCTTTTTCACAGAACAATCAAACAATCAAGATCAGAACTGGAGCAGTTGTGAGGGTTCCTGTCCACTGAGTTAAGCAGTTCAGTTGGGGGAGATCTTGGAAGATATTTCTTTCGTGTTTCAACTGTTGGGTCTTGGGCTTGCGTCAGTCTAGTCTGAAACATTTCGTTTCTTTGGAAGAAGCATGAACAGACAGTGGAAAGTTGCTTCAAGAAGCAAACAGAAGGTCCACTTGGCAAACTGCCAGTTGCTGGCTCCCAGCATTCAAAAAGGGAGTCCGTCTCCCTTTTCAGACCTCCACTCCTCATTTTCAGAGGTCACGAGTCCTCTTCACGCGGCAGAGCCGGGAATCATCTCAGTGCAGAGATGGCTACAACCACGCTTCCTGGGCGGCTCGATTCAGATACCCATTATATGTTTCTTTTTTGCTTCTTTTTTTCCCAACGACTTTGAGAGTTGGAGGAGAACGACCTGGTGGTCCAGAGTACCACGATATATATATATATATCATATATATATATATTATAATATGTTATGTATTTTTTCCAGGAGGGAACATGGACCACCGAACTTGAGTTGGATCCTTGATCTGACGACAGTCTCCCCGAGTTTTCACGACAGGCGTTCTGCTGGGCTGCGCTTCGCTGCCCTGCATGGCCTTTGCGCTGAATTTGCCGAAGGCATGTTGCTGGGCACTGGCCACCGTGTGGCGCTCGGAGGTAGGAGAGATAAGCCTGCCCACCGAATTTCGTCTGTGCTGGTTCTGAACATGGACCGGGGTGTTTTCCTTCTGTGGTGGGGGAAGGGATGCTAGAGCTTGAGCCTTGGAGCTGTCTGAGGCGATCTGTGAAGCTCTACAGTTTTTGAGCTCTCGAACTCTGGCAGATGCATTGCTGACCTGGGACCAGGAGGTCGGTAGACAAGGGAATTGGTCGGTTCGCTCCGGAAGCTGGGCTGGGCTGGTGGAATTGAGTAGGCAATTCTATTTTCATTGGAGGGGATTCCACTCTTACTACAGTTCTTTCATGCGTTTCTATCCCTGGAGATCCTTTCTTCGAGATCTCTCGCGAACGCTTGAGCATCCTTTCGTATCATTCAGCGGATAGCTGCTGGCTTTTCAGCGAAGTAAGTCGTCCTTTGGAGCGCACTTCATGTCTTACTTCAGTCGCGCCCGCGCCGACTTGATTAAGTAGGGAGGTCAGGGCAACAAACACAGGTGAGCACCAGACCGCTCCTCGCGATCGGACGCTGCCAACGGGGCACTTTAGCGGCCGTAACAGGGGACGCTACGAACGTTCACAAAGGGCATCGCTACAAACGGAGCGGTTGGACGCTACCGAGATAGAGTGGAAATCCCTGTTTCGCGCTTCGCTGGTCGCCTCTCTCCAGGTGCACGTGTCAGCTGCTGTCGCTGCTGGGCTTCTGAAGGCAAGGGGTGTCCGGTGCATTGTCCGGTGAGTCCGGTGGGCAGTCGCAGCGGAAAATCCAAGCGATCAAACACAGGATTCGAACACCAGGTTTGAACACAAACCGTTCATTTTCTTCCGAAGTCACTCGATGAAAAGAGAGCACCGTTTTTTTTGTTCCACACCTCAAGACCCCATTTTGCCCCAAAAGACGTGTTGCTTTGACACGGTCTTTGTTGCGGGTGAACACCGATGGGCTACAGGGCACGTGCATTCTATGCATCATGCACTTCCAGCAGTTGGGCTTCGAGGCTCGCGGTCAGCAGCAAATATGACGAACCTTGCGAAGAGGTCGAATGATGTCGACGCGAACTTCCGAACTTTGGACCCATCTGACCTGGGAGGGTTTTTAGTGCAGATGTGCAGAGTACTCCCATTTCGGGGCTCGAAGTCAAATGCATAAGCCTTAAAATGAGTCCTTTTCCTGGACTCTCAGGGGGTCCTTGTCTCTGTCAGGTCACGGGTCGGACGAGTGGGTCGGTGACGTCGGTGCCCGATGTCGCCGCCGCTGGAGGCGGGGCTGTCGCGCTTCGTGGGACTCTTCATGGTGGCGACCAACCTGCTGACGGTGGCCATGTGCCTGGCCTTCTTTGGCGACCAGGCCCGAGACGGGGACATCCCATGTGCGAAGTGAGCTGAGAACGAACATCACCTGAGCCCTAAGGCCCTAAGGATCCAAGTAGCATCGATACGGTGAGCCAGGAGACGATTTCGGCGCCAGGAGAGCCCAAGTAATTACCTTCTGAGGTCTGTGGATCCTTAGGGGGAAGGAAAACCAGATGAGCAATTCATTGGTGAAGACACCGTGAAGACGGTGGTTCACATGCTCAACTGCTCAACCCACCTTTTTGCCGCCCCTCGGCGCGCCTGGAAGTGAAGTAGAAACCAAGTGAAGTAGAAACCAAATCATTCGCGTGAGCGGATAGCTGCGGTCCAGTTACTAGTAGCTTACTTGTAGGTACTAGCTATCTCTTCTACTAGCTACCTACCTCTAGCTACTACTAGCTCACCTCTAGTAGCGGCCTACCCCCTAAAACTAAAAAGAGAAGCACCTTGCGAGGGCGAAATCGTCGGACGCCAGGTGGTCGTGTCGTGGAACTTCATGGGCTCTGCTTGCTCCACGTTCCTCGGCATTTGGCTCTTGAACCGGCCAGAGGTGCCCACTCCCAAAGAAGTCCGCCAAAGAAGTCCGCCGACAGCGGAGTAGGGCTCTTCCTCGTTTCTCTACCCAAGGGTGTACGGTCCGTTTGTTTGTTTTTTTTTTTTTTTTTCGCATGCAAATTCTCTTCGTGTTCTGGTTGGAACCTTGAACCAGTTAGAAAATGCTTTGGTTCGTATCCTCCTCCAGCTCCGGAAAGCGAGCGTGTACGAGGCGTTTCACCGTGAAAAAACATGTATATAGTTTGCTCCAAGCTTGCTTTGCCACCGGCAAGGGAGTATTTGAGTTCTTTCCAGCTGAGAAAAAATGGTGCAACATACTCTGAAAGCTGGTTGTGTGAGCGTTGAGCAAGACGAATCACGTTCAACGGATTCTCAAATCTTTTTTGATACAGTTGTGACTGATCGACTCATCGCCTCAGATGACTAGGACAGCAGCTGCCTATGCAATCAACTTGGCAGCACCTCTCCCAAAGTTTGCTGAGGTGCTGCGGTGGAGCCGTCATAGTTTGGGTATGCACACACACACACAAACATAATATATATATAATTAATGCATACATACATATTGTACTACACGTGAAGTAGAAAGAAAGCTGTGACGCTTTGCAAAAGGACTCCAAGAAACACTTGGGAGTTGAGTCAAACTAGCAGGACACCACAGGAAAGATCTCAGAGTTGGGCAAAAAAACAAAAGCCAGTTAGTGAAACTCCGTGCTGTGTTTTTCCTGACAAAACCTTGGAGCTTCGACAAGACTTTTTCCAATTCTACGAGGCCCTTCGTAGACTCAGCTTCCCCCGCCTCAGCTGACCCTCCCCTCTCCGTGAGGCGTCGCCGGAGAGTTTCAAGGCGCTGGCGAAGCTGCTCAGTGCACCCAAGCCCAAGAAGCGCGTGCGGAACACCCAGAGGGCATGGCAGGGACCAGGTGGCCCGAGCTCCAACGGTCAGTCAGATCATGTCGAATCATGGCGGTTTGATAGGGATGACCTGAACGGAAATCATGTACTACGTACCATCTACTGTATATAGCCGGACAGCTGGACCATTTGGCCCAACTCGACAGACAGGATGAAAAGGCCAAGATTGCCATGGACAACGCAGCGATCTCCTCAGTTTTTGGATTCAACAGTGAACTGAAACACCAAAGAAAGAACAATTGGATGGTGTTTGACATGTTCTGTGAATCATTGGACAATTAACTGTATATAGCATGATGACCTGCAGACACATTTTTTTCCACCACTCTCTCACTCTTTTGCAGGTCGCTGCTATGCTTTCAATGCTGAAGGAGCATTCCAACCTTTGTGGTTTTCTGCAGTGCGACGGCTGAGAATCGGCCGCACTCCGATTGGCGTCCTCTCTCAATGACTGTCTCTGATTTTCAGGGAGAGCCTCTGCCCCGAGACGATGGAGCGGGGATATCTTGTACCCCTTGATATAGCTTAATTATACTCAATTTGTCATTTTATCATGTTGAGTCCTAGCTGCAAGAAACCATGGCACCGGCGTCTATGCCAGCACTCCTAGTCACTGAGACTGCAGGAGAAGGGAACGCTTTGCCCTCCTGATGTTCAGGCCTACACTAAACTGCTAGGTTTGTGAAGCCAGATGAAGCCAGCCCCCCCAAGTCTTATGAGACGCCAAACCCTATTTTGTGCGTGGACCATTTGATTACTTGTTTGAGGAAGCCCATTTCTCTCAAAACACATACATTCTCACCAAGAACGTGCCGGAAAACCGCTTTGACCGGCACGGAAAGAACGGTACTAGTTGGACACGTTGGACATTCCTGCTCTGCACGTTGAAGTGCAAGCCTTGTGTGTTGGCGGAGTTTTCTGAAGGCTTGGGATTTGACCCTCGCAAAGCTCCCTCTGAAAGACGATTGTGAGGAGGCCGGGAAAGGCTGCTTTCCCCCGTGAGCATCGATGGATGGTACTTCTCCTTTGTTGGGATCTGAATCATCTGCATTGGATCTTTTTCGTTGCAGAAGCCTTGGACCATTGGACCACTGAACCTGAGAGAAAGCACGCTGAACTGTATGCCAACAAGCTGGTCCTCAGGCGAAAAAAGTGCATGAGAAGCTCATTGATATGGTCCTTGCTCAGAACCAGGCAGCAAGATTTGTTCCAGATTGGAGTTGAAGTTCCCTCATGCGACCATGAAGACGGTTTGGCTTGGAGGATTCCAGATGATTCCAGTTCAAATTGTCATTTGAGGAAGACAGTTGAAAGAAACAGTGAGAAGTGAAGTCTTGTTGCATTGTAAAGCTTTACTATGCCTCACTTAGCATACTTGTCCTTGCCGGCTGTGAACGTGCCAGGGATTGCTTGGTGCTGACAACAGAAATCTAGGGTCAAGTGCTCAGGAAGCAAAGCACCAGCAAGACTTGGTCATGAGCGAGCCTTTCAGGAAAGTGCTGTCAATTTTGGCGGAGATCTACAAACACGAAGGTGCCCATTGCAACGTTGAAGGGGCTCCTTCCCTAATGATAAAGTTCTTTTCTTCCTACATTTGAAGAGCTTGTTTTGGAATGCAAATTGCTGTGACTTGGCAGACATTTGCAGCAAAGAATGCGACGAGAAGATCCTGAGAGCCTTCGTCTCAGCGTCTCTTCTTCTTGCCACAAAGAAGCTCTTCAAGACTTGATTCCTTGGTAATCAATACTTATATACATATAACGGGTAGGATGCTCAAATCAAAAGCCTTCGCTCGCAGCTTTATATCCACACGCCCATCAATGAACGCCTTGGAAAAGAGCTCGAGGTCCAATATCGTTGAGTCCGTTTTACAAACCCAGTGGTTGGACATCCTCCAATAACAAGTCAAACATTTCTCGACCCTCGCCGCGCTCGCCGCGCTCGCGGCGCTTGCCACGCTGCCCAGATCTTCAAGTCGCTACCGCAAAACATGCTCGTGGGTCTCGAGCTCGGGTAGCTTTATATGTTTCACAGAACAAAGAGGCGAGTCAAAAGCACAGAGGGGGTGCTGATCAACCCGGCTTGGTGGTCTGTTGTTCCAAGGATCCTTTTTTGCGTCTCTCTTTAAAGGGGGTTAGCTCAGTTTGCGGTCAATTTCTTTGCCAAGCTGCGAATTGCCTGACTTGACAAAAACCTTGGAACGTCCCTTCAGCATTTTTGGCAAGGTGCTGCATCCAGCTTCACCGAAAAGCAGCAGAAAAAAGTTGTGGCTTGGACCCGGCGTGTAGATTTTCAAGGGAAGCGAACATGACACACCACCATCAAGTTCACCACCCGAGTTCATTGGAAGTACCGCGTCATTTGTACTTTTTCGTATCACCAGTGGTAGGACAGCAAGGCTTCATTGAGTCGCTTTTTTGTACAGGAAGCGGTGCTGTAGATATCAGGCAATGGCACCAGGAGAAAAACGGTGTCAAAGTGCCAAGAGAGAAAACCCAGAAGGCACACTTTCCAGCAGCTTTCAGCCTTCGTGCCCACTTTTCCCAAGGAAAAAATGCTGCACTCCTGAGAGCGCGGCTGTGCGTCTAGGTTCACCCCATCAGCGCTTGCCGTGGGGTCGGGCCGTTACCACAGCCAACCAACAAACCCCACCCATAGCCATTGCGCCATGCACGCAAACGACCTGACTCCATCACATGTTTGGTCCAATTAGTTGTGGAGCTGTCCGGCTTCAGCAACATTTGCGAAGCCTGAAAAACCTGTTTTCATGCTGGTTTCTAAGCTTAGAACGCTTTTCTCAGCTCATGGGTTTGGCCAATGTTTGCTTCGTTTGCTGCTGGACGAGCTCCAAGCTTGTGCGCATCACTTGGTTCACGGTGAGTCGCTCACCGTCAAAGCCTTGTGATCCCACCAAGATGAAGCTCATTGGCGAGTCGTTTCAGCACTGATGAGTCAGTTTCCCGGTCGAATTCGGCCTTTAAAACTAACAAAAGACACATCAGCTTTCAGACCGGTTTCTTCACTTCAGGAGGCCTCTTTTGCACATCTTTCGGTTTCAATCGGTTTCCTCTGGTGGCATTGCTTCACTCCAGGAACCTGCCCTGCTCCAAGCTGGAGCTTAAGAGGCATCGCTCCTGGCGTTTTGCGGCACACAGCATCTGGCAGGATCCGGTTGTTTTTTTCACCACGTCGCATGGTGTGCCACCCCCCATGGTCCGTCCCACAGTCCCACAGTCCGACCGGGAAGTCAGGGGACTTGTGGTGTCGTTGTGGAAGTCGATCTTTTTCCGGGAAAGAAGCGTCGAGCCGTGCGTTCAGCCTGGGAAGTCTGAGAGGTGTAAAGGATGCGAGTTGTAAAGGGGAAGGGGGTCGTGATCAGCATAGCTCCAGGAACTCTGGCACTCGGAGCACTCCTAGTGCTTTGTTTGGCACTTGGGATCGTTGGTATTGTCAGCATGGGTCAATAGAGTGTATCATCCCCTTTGTTCTGTTTTCTTTCATCCCCGCCGCTGGTGCGATGCTGCCGTGCGCAGCCAAAAGACCTGCACATGTAAGTAGGAGACGGCAGGCAGTCTCAGACAGCCAGACCCGCGAGGCGCAAGAAAGGAAGAGATGGCCTGGCCGGGCAAGCTATTTTTCAAAGTTCTTTCAATAGGTTTCAGAGCCAGTATTACAAGCTGAACAGAGTTCTTTTTGAACCTAAGAATTGCTTTAGCATGCGCTTCAGCGCCGTACGGACGCGCTTTGTGCGTTCGTGTGCGTTTGTGCAACCGCCCTTGAGATCCCTGGCCGTTGGCCACAGGTTACTTGTGCCAGCAGTCCTTCAATCGTTTGCTGGATCAAGTCATGTTTGTCCTGCAACTCGCCACAGGTGGAGCCACCCAGTGCTCACAGGCGTTGATTGATGTTGAAGAAAGCAAGCTTTTGGCCAATCCTTTTCTTGCTCAAGCAACATGCCACGAATAAGGCTACCACAAGTGCTTCTTGTGTGTTTCAGAGAGTGTTAAGCTGAGGCAGTTCATCATGCAGTTTAGAATGGCGCAATGCTGCACTGCAAGAGACGTTCTGCACACAAAGGGTCAACCAAACGCACATACCATGCCTCTTGCGACATCGAAACAGCCGATGAACCGACTCGATGCCTTGAAATCTCGACCAATCGAGCTAGACAGAAGCATCAACTGCGTGCCTGAATCCTCCACAGAATGGGATCCTATTGGATTACGGCCGGTCAGGACGGCCCGAATCCCTTCGCCAGATGAAAACCCTATTTGCATCCACTGATGTCATGTGAGGACTCGAGCGGAGCGACTGGAGCCCGATGGCAACAGTGGATCATGGGGGAGGACCTGGGGGAGGAACCGATGCACATGGAGAACGCACATGGAGAGTGCACATGGAGAGTGCAGGTGGAGAGTGCACGGTACGATTTCGCCTCCCATTTTGGGAACGTTCTTTTGCATGTTTCGGGGGATGCCGAGGATCCTCGCACGGATGTGCACCTCGCCCCACAGCAATGGCCAAGCGGGCATGTAGGTGCATGAGCAAAAAGCATGAAGAAACACTCGAGAGTGTCCCACCAAGGAAACAATAAGAGCCAGAACACAAGTAAACACCGAACGACACCAGAAACCCTGAATCCCAGACAAGAAGATGGCATCAAGGTCGAAGGTTTACTTGTCTTCAGATCTCTTCGAAAGGGGGCTTGACCCACAGCCACCTGAGTGATTAGGAGTTCCACCTGTGAGTCAAAGAGAATTGAAAAAACCTTCTCAATCTGCAGGATGCCCGTTCCATGCAGGGAACCGATGAGGAGGCTCAGGCGCAAGAGTTGACACACATCTTCACGGGTCTACAGTACGGGTAAGCTCGCCTCGCCTCGCAAACGGTGACCTTGAAGTCTCGACATGAAATCAGGTTGAAGTTGTCTCAGATCCGTGCAGCCGCTTTTTTTTAAAAACAGATTCAACACTCCGGAGATGAGGCGACAGAAAGATGTGCTTGCCATGAACATTTGGTTGGCCCTTGATTCATTGGTGAGATTCGCAGAATGCTGCTGCTTGGCTCAGAGGTGTTTGGACTCGGTAGAACGAGGAACCTTGCACTGCCAGCCATGAGTTTGGTCCAAGAAGAGACCATCCAGGAGCTGTAGAGCCGATGTCTTAAGATTTTGATGCCCTTTGTTGCTAGTAGCGTCCTTGTTACTAGTAGCTATTTGCTACTATGGTAGTAATGCCCTTTGTTGCTAGCAGCGATGCCCTTGTTCCTAGTAGCTTCTTGTTGCGAATGGCAAGAAATTGCTTTTCATGCAGACAACAGCTGGAGACAGCTGACACATTGGAAATGATTTCGTTTTTGGTCTGCACTTTGACGCTTCAGGACTTGCCAGAAAAGAGGGCAGTGGAAGAGCCTTAGCTAAATCTGTGGGATGAGGCAGCTTGTCTCCGCATGATTTCCTGTCTTGGAAAACAGACTTAGAGCTGTGAGCTGCTCGCAAGGATTGAATTGTGATAGTTGTAGATGACAGAGAGTTTTGTTGCATGAAACTGGAACGAGAGGGTTTGTGTCAGATCTACCTCTTTCAGCAGAACCCAGAAGCTGCATGCAACCCAAGCTGCGACACCCACAATACGCAACTGGTTTAACAAGGATGCCTTGCGAGACTGCACGTTGTCTGCTGTGGCAGTCCTCCGTCCGCGACTGTTAAGGACACCACCGACGATAGCGACGGTGATTTACCGGAACTCTATGATGCCAGTGAAAGTGATAGTCCCAGCCCAGCATCCAAGGCTGGAGTGTTGAAGGAGACGAACGAAGGGAGAAACAATGAGAAACCGGGCGCTTGCTACTAGTAGTGCCCTTGTTACTTTCGTAGCGATGCCCTTGTTCCTAGTAGCTTCTTGGTCCTAGTAGCGATGCCCTTTAGCTGAAGTTGTTCTTGCTTTAGCAAGTGAGGGGCTGGAATCCTCGAGAGCGCCGCATCGGGTGAACACTTCATATGTACGCCCCGCCCCAACGTCTTTGGGTTCAACTCCTCCGTGGGACGTGTGTCTTTCCACGTCTCTGTCTGGCCTCACCCCTCGATCCGCGTACCGTGCGTACCGAGCGTCGGACACGAGACGGACCGGTCGCGTGCAGGTGCAAGAGACTCTCGAAGCTGACAGCAAGGAGGTGCAGCGCCCGGACCGCGTCGGGTCCGGCGTGGGCGGTCTGGGACGTGTCCAGACCGCGGTTTGGTTCCGCGGCGGGTCACCGACGGGGTCCCGCTCTGTGGAGAAACTGGATGAGCACAAGTGTGACAGCACTTCTGGAACAATGGACTTGCAGGTTGTTCTTTTGGTTCCTTTTTGCATGGATATTTGCAGGACATGATCTGTGTCTTTTTTTGTTTTGAGAAGTGCCCGTTTTGGATCGTTTTGGTCTGTCACCTGTCGCACATTCCATTCTTTTTGTTTTTTTGAGAGCGTAGCAATGGGCTGGTTTTTCCTGGAGGTGGATGAAGTGCTTCGCCGCTATGTAGACAAGTTTGGAGAGTCGCGTGATGGTGAAGCTCAAGGTGTGGTCGCGTGAGGAGTGACGCATGTCTTCTTCATCACAAGAATGTCTGGAGTGTAAGTTGGTCAGATTGGTGTGTATAGTGTATACATACACACAATATACATCATTACTGTATATATACACAGTACATGTGCATTGTGTGACTGGCCAGTATGCGACGCCTCTACGTGTTGTCTGCACAGTCGAAAAGACCTCCCCCATCTCCTCTGCCATGTTTCTGTGGCAACCAGGCTATAACCGCAGAGCGTTCCCCTGGTACTGCGGAGAATCTCTGAACGACAAGAAAGAACTTGACATGCAGGATTTGCAGGCTGGCTGCGGCAGTTTTTTGGATGCTATGATATGCTATGCTTCAAGTTGGGTGATCAGGAAGCATGCTTGATACAGCATGCTGCATGCCACTTGATAACTCTTGATGATGCCGAGTGAGTGTTTCAGTACCAGTTTTGAACATGTTCAGCCCAGCCATGCTGCGTGTCAGAGGCCGTCCTCCGCAAGAGTCCAAAGAGGGAAAAACGCCAGGCCAAGCAACCCAGAGTGGACAGGGAGAAGCTCTTGTTCTTAAATCAAGAACGTTGGGATCTATTAACATCTCTTTAAATCTATTATAATCTATTTGGTTCTGGCCTGGTCTATGTGCCCTTCCATTTCCCCTTGCCCGTGAATCTACACCAATAGGAAGACAAGCTGCCCTAAACTAAATTGAACTTGAATGGACTTCCTTTCTGATTTCGTGCTCTCGTTCGTCTTCCGGCCAGACCGTTGAACGTGCCTAGCCTGTTTTTGGATTAACTTGGAGTGTTGTGCAATGGCTTCTTTCATGGGCACTCTATCCCAACGAGAGTCCCAACGAGCATCACCCATGAAATCCTATGCCGCCGGGCGATGTTCGTTGCGTGGGCCAAGGCCAAGTTGTGGGACGTGGATTCGGAAGGTGAGCAGATCACCTTGTGCGTCCCTGGGACGGAAAAGAGAATCGGATCAGCAACTGGACGCGGCTCACTTCAAGGCGTTTGCTTCGGAGCGTTTTCCTCTTTTCAAAAAAAGGGGGGCTTCTTCGAGGTGGAGGGGGTTGACATGAACACCCAAGAACTGCCCCTGGTCGTTGTCCGCCCGCCAAGGCGCATTGCTTGCTCCCGGTGGGTGAGGCGGGAAGAACTCCTGTGAGACACGTGCAGAACTCCTGTCTTAGACATGAAGCAGTTTAGCACGTGCAGTGTGCACACAGCACTGCAGCGAAAAGTATGCGCGTGGCGTGGTAAACCGGAAGTCCTCCGAATCAGACGTGCGAAGTGCTCACATGGAACTTCTTCAGGTCTCCTACTCTGGCCAGGGCAAAGCAACTTGGTAACAAACGATGGGACTTCCAAACAGCTTGGCACAGCTGAGAGCCAAACAGAGGCTGATGAAAAGCTGAGGCAACCTCCCTCCACGGAGAGTGTGCAGCACAAGTGATGTTGCAAGACATGAAGTCCAAGGATGCCAAGCGCGTGGAGGTGCCATTTCGTGTGAGAGGCTGAAGCGAAATCACCGAAATCGCTTGAGCAAAAAAGCACTGCCCCATACATGACAGGAGTGACACCTGATCAGTCAAGTGGTATCAATAGCACCATTTCCTAGACAACAAACAAAAACATGTCTTATATACCTAGATCTTCCAAATGTGCATAATTTCTGCCTTTTGGCTGGGTTTGATGCATGAAAAGGCAGAAATTATGCACAGTTGGAAGATCCATATATAACTAACTCCAGACCGGCCTGTTATGGCCTCATTACCGCAAAAAAATTGGGGGGTTCAGGACGAGACGGAGAAGAAGCAGAAGTGCCGCGCCGACCACGGCATCGGCCAATTGGAGGTGCCAAGGAATGTCGTGACCGCACCTCGGCGAAGAGGTTGGACTTCCAGAGATGGATGAAAACACGAAACCTTGGGTCAATTGACAGTCCATTTTCATTATTTTTCCGTCAAGATAGGCAGCTTGATTCATTGACTAGGTCTTTGACCTCAGAGATTTAGGTGGAGTTTGGTGCTTTTCTCTCCCAGGCAGCGAAACTCCACTGCAGCCCTGTGCCGCAAGGCCCACCCATGTCCATGGATTTTCGGTTTTGGGCCTTTCTGATTGTCATTGTCCGAAGAATGCTCCTAGTAGCGATGCCAGGAGCCCCGTTCGTAGCGTCCTTGCTCCTTTGGTAGTAAGGCCAGGAGCCGTTAGTAGCGTCCTTGGTTCTTTGACACCTGGCAGGTCTTTGTTGCTTGGTCTGGGATGAGGCCGCTCGTTTGGTGAAGATTTGTGCCACCTCGGAGCCTGCTGCAGCTGTGAATCTGGAGTACCTAATGCTGGCGCTGAAGGCAGCGGTTCGGTCTTTGACTGTTTCAAGGTGAACCGTGTTGCATTCATCTTCGCTGATGGTGAACAGTATGAATTCAACTTGCCAAGCTTATTCTTGGTAGAGGTACAGGGCACCATTCGAAATGGACAGATGTTGTTTTTGAAGGAAGATGTTCACCTGAACATGGTGTTTGACTGGCTCCAAAGTCATCGTGCTAGCTTTCGGAACCGCTTTTCCAGTGGACCTGCGCCGCAAGACCCTCGGCTGGCCCGCAGGTCCGCTACCATGCATGCCGAGAGCCACTGTTCTCCCTGGACCCAGTGAACCCAGCATCTTGACACCGAAAGGGTTCAACACCGTCAGAGTTGGACCACTTTTGAGTGAGCCAACATCCGCGTGACGAAAGCTCCTGCTTTGAGCGGGCGTCTCGAACATGAGCTTTCCCCTCCTGATACAACTCGGCCCATCAGCTCGGGGGGGGGTGAAACGGGAGGTCGTCATTCTTCCACCGGCGCTGAGGAAAAGCTGGAGACCACGCTCCTCGAGAAGCGCTTCTCGCCCTCTTGGCTGGCCGGCACCAGTGTGGGAGAGCTGATGTTCCAGGCAGACTATTACCTCAAGGAGCTGGCTATGGGAGAGTATCTGGCCAAGAGTTTGCAGTGAAACCACACGAAACCACTCATGAAAAGCCACGCTCGACTCAGTGGTAGGTGTTTCCCCACTTTTTCGGACGACTGCCAGACGACATGCCTGTGCTCCTCTGCCCAACCCTGTATCGCCCTGGCGCCTCAGACATGTACCAAGGCACAGTATGCCAGTGATGGGCATGATGAGTGTGTTTGATTGGTCCGAAGCCGACAACGTGAAGGGCGGATGGACAGGGCGAGAGTGGTTCGTGGTCAACAAGGCGCTAGCTGTGGGACGTTGGTCGTGTTTTCCAGCATGCAAGCAAGCTCAGTTCCAACCAGTTGCATGACCAAGTTTCCTGGCAAGTCTTTCATAATCATGCCATGCCTATATATAGAGATCCCCAGATGGATAGAAATGGTTCAAACAGGACTCATGTTTTTACGACAGTCGTGTGAAACTGTGAAACCTTGTTTGAGATGCGTCGAAGTTGCCTGACCACCATTTCGGCCCTTTCTTTGTGTGAGGCAGAGGTGAAATTGGCATCCGACAACACCCTGATCCCCAGCGTGAAGATGGGAGTTGAGGCAAGAACACAGGTTCGTCGCAATGGCGGACTGGAGGATGCTGCGATCACCAGCAAGAATCATCCCCTGAGGACTGGTGACTGGGGGATGGATCGGGTCTTCCGAAAGCGGTTGGCGAACGGCCGTGAGCGGCGCGGGGGGTCGGGGGTTGGGGTGGTTCCGGTCGAGAATTGGTGATTGGCTGTGGCACCATACTGACCGGGCACGACTTACTCGGTCACACGAACACGGAGGCTTGCGTCCAGCATGCCCAGGTCCTTCAGCTGTGGGTACCGGGGACTTTGGGGTTAACCTACCTGGGAGGTCGTTCACTACATGGTGGGACTGGTCGTTCGTTCCAGGCCACGACCCATCTTTCTTGGACCAGTCACGACTCGACGGTTGAGTGCCCAGCGCCACCTGCGACGCAGGAAGTTTGCGGAGAGTTTTAGCAAGATGCCCGGCTGCAGAGGAAATCTCGCGAGACTGCAGTTTGCGCATGCAGAGGATTGTCCAAACCGTCCAAACACCATGAATCATGTCACGGCTGCTTTTCACCAGTTGGCTTCACACATGTTTGACCATCCATGTTTTCATGGCGTTTTGATCATCCATATTTTTAGACGTTCTATCCTTTGCAGGTAGCATGTGCAGGTGGTATGGTCGATTTTCCCACACTTACCAGGCAATTGACAGGGGGTGCCACTCCGAGCCACGGTGGTCGTGACGCCAGCCGTTCCGCCGGTGTCCTTTCCTCGTTGCGGAAGCACTCGTTCGGTCTTGAGGAACTTTGACCTCATCGCAGAAAGGAAGCATGTGATCTTCCAATTGCGGGAGTTGGCCAAGGCGACGAAGACGACGATTCACGATGACGATCTTTTCGTTGGGGGGCGACGGAGGTCGGGTACCGACGTAGACTCCCGGAGAGGTCGCCCAAAGGATGCATCTGATGAAGCATCATGTACAGATGTTGAGAGAAACGACCAGAAGCTGCAGTAAAAACCTGAACTGACACATGACATGCGGAATTCGCATGGGGCTAGTACTTTGGAACAGCAGAATCGAGTCAAGATTGAGATGCCTCTGGTCCTGTGTTTCACTGTAAAATTCGATCGGGTGACCGAAGAATCAAGAAGTCTGAAATGTCATCGACATGGCATCAAGCTGAGGCTTCCTCCACCACACCATACCCCATCAACAAGAATTGGTATACAATGCAATGCCGTGTGTTTTTTTCATGGTGTTGGTCAGTAGTAGCAGCTGGATGCAGCCCGGGTAGTTCCAGAGGTCCAGAAAGATCGCAATTTTTCGCGGAGTTCACATGGCTTAGCCGATCAAACAATCAGGTGAAAACGGGATCCTTAAGCCCTTGCATACCTAATTTTGTGGGTTAAACCAGTTCAGCCTGAATCAGTCCACTTGAGTGCCTTGCTCCTGCCGTCGCTGCTGCCGACACTTCCGTCAGGCCTCGGCCATGGCGAAGTTCTTGGTCGACTCGGCCACTACGGTGCCTCAGGACGTGTCGCACGAGTTGGAGAAGAGAAGCCGAACGAGTGGAGGGCGTGCCCCCAGAGGGTGGGAGACCCACTCATGGGAGGTGTTTCCTACCAGGTTTTTGACTCAAAGCACCAGCCTCCCAGAGGCTGTGACCGGAGACCGGACCCCCGTTGAACTGGAGGCTGTGACCGGGCACCGAACATAGGTGAAACACGCCGAAAACCCCGGTTTTTCAACGATCGACGGGTGCTGGTAGATGTGCAGGGCTGGTCTTGGAGGATGGGGAACCAGTTTTTCAACTTCTTCGCGGCCTGAAGAACCTGAAGTTCGGAGTTCCTCTTTTCATTGTGGAATCCGTCAGTTCTAAGCCGTTCTGCAGAAACAACCGCTTCGATCAATAGATTCAATAGATGGGTATCGGCATGGAATAAGGGAGAACGCCGAAAGAGCCCTCTTGAGTAAAGAGCATTTTGGGGTATCTTCCTATTCCAATATACCAATCGCCCCACATTTTTGTTTTTCCTACTCCCAAATAGCGGCAGGAATGGTGGCAGCTCGCAGATGAACTTGTGAGTTTTGCCAAGTCTGTGGACAAACAGATCCCTCAGCTCTGGAACATGCGTGGTCAGAGCCGCATCCAGGTGCGGCATCGACGAGTTGTGTGTCGCTTCGCCCTGCGGTTTGGGAGAGAAGAAGAGTCTGTTGAATGTGCGCTGGCGTGGCAAAGGTTCAGGTTGAATCTCAAAAGTAGGACCAGCATGCTACTGCAAGGTATTTGCTAGAAGCATACTTGATGTATCTTGATGTGTCCTCCCTGATAGGTGAAAGACGGAAAGCTGGCAACTGCCCAATCGAACCAGTGCAGCTTGGATGCGTAACGTCTTTGACCAAACAGCTTGGTGTCGCGGCAGTCGGCCCCACCGGTTGAGCAGTGCAGTGCTCAGGCTACCTGACCAGCGTGTATGGTGGTATTGAGTTTGGTCTGGATCGATTTGAGCTGGCCTCAAGGCATACCTTGAGGCGGGAGTGTTTTTGAGTGACCAGTACTTTGTAAGATTGCTGGAGGATGCTGGAGGTATCAATCAAATTTTCGAAGCGCAAGCAGGACATGCATGTTGGCTTGCAGGAACTTGCCAAGCTCACTGAACAGTCAGAATGAAGAAAGTAACTTCAACTGCTTTACGTCTCCTTCTACCCACATTTCGAGGCTTTAGGGTTTCACCCACATACGCGCACAGTCCATGAATCAGGCTTATATATATATATATCATCTTATATCCAACTTAGAATCCTGAATTCGACTCCTTCATGGTTTTTCATGTTCTTTCTAATTCTATTCAGAATTTCGTGCCAGACCTGTGGGCGCTGGGGGCTCTACAATGGTTGGAGGCCTGCAGGGCATGCAACTTGGCCCCACTGCGCGGCCTGGCTTTGCCCCGTCGCGGTTTCAGCTCACGCAGCGGCCGGCGGCGCCTGCACCGGCAGAGCAACCGCAGGCGAGATGCCATGCTGTTTTGGTGTTGGGTGCGTGTGACTGAACAAACTGAAGCTTAAAAGTTTAGTTGGGAGGACTTTACACGGTTACAGCCTAGGTTTTCAACTCAATTCCAAGGGGATTACACACTTCGAACTTGGATTTTCAGTTAATGCAAGTATCACGTTGGG